ACTTAAGCTGCCTTAACCTTATATAACCTAAAGTAACTTGTACCAACCTAACCTAATTTAACCTTACTTAATCTGGCCTAATTTAACCAGTCGTAAGGGGATTGTATTTACAGTCAGGAAATTTTTGGTCCATGGCCCAAACGTCCACCCTACTACATACAGCTCGTGGTCCCCAACCGTCCGGGGATCGTGGCTCATGGTCCATGGCCCAAACGTCCACCCTACTACATACAGCTCGTGGTCCCCAACCGTCCGGGGATCGTGGCTCATGGTCCACAAACGTCCACCCTACTACATACAGCTCGTGGTCCCCAACCGTCCGGGGATCGTGGCTCATGGTCCATGGCCCAAACGTCCACCCTACTACATACAGCTCGTGGTCCCCAACCGTCCGGGGATCGTGGCTCATGGTCCATGGCCCAAACGTCCACCCTACTACATACAGTGGTCCCCAACCGTCCGGGGATCGCGGCTCATGGTCCATGGCCCAAACGTCCACCCTACTACATACAGCTCGTGGTCCCCAACCGTCCGGGGATCGTGGCTCATGGTCCATGGCCCAAACGTCCACCCTACTACATACAGGTGGTCCCCAACCGTCCGGGGATCGTGGCTCATGGTCCATGGCCCAAACGTCCACCCTACTACATACAGCTCGTGGTCCCAACCGTCCGGGGATCGTGGCTCATGGTCCATGGCCCAAACGTCCACCCTACTACATACAGCTCGTGGTCCCCAACCGTCCGGGGATCGTGGCTCATGGTCCATGGCCCAAACGTCCACCCTACTACATACAGCTCGCGGTCCCCAACCGTCGGGTATCGCGGCCATGGTCCATGGCCCAAACGTCCACCCTACTACATACAGCCTGTGGTCCCCAACCGTCCGGGGATCGTGGCTCATGGTCCATGGCCCAAACGTCCACCCTACTACATACAGCTCGTGGTCCCCAACCGTCCGGGGATCGCGGCTCATGGTCCAGGCCCAAACGTCCACCCCTACTACATACAGCCGTGGTCCCCAACCGTCCGGGATCGCGGCTCATGGTCCATGGCCCAAACGTCCACCCTACTACATACAGCTCGTGGTCCCCAACCGTCCGGGGATCGTGGCTCATGGTCCATGGCCCAAACGTCCACCCTACTACATACAGCCTGGTCCCCAACCGTCCGGGGATCGTGGCTCATGGTCCATGGCCCAAACGTCCACCCTACTACATACAGCTCGTGGTCCCAACCGTCCGGGGATCGTGGCTCATGGTCCATGGCCCAAACGTCCACCCTACTACATACAGCTCGTGGTCCCCAACCGTCCGGGGATCGTGGCTCATGGTCCATGGCCCAAACGTCCACCCTACTACATACAGCTCGTGGTCCCAACCGTCCGGGGATCGTCGGTCCATGGCCCAAACGTCCACCCTACTACATACAGCCGTGGTCCCCAACCGTCCGGGATCGCGGCTCATGGTCCATGGCCCAAACGTCCACCCTACTACACACAGCTCGTGGTCCCAAACCGTCCGGGGATCGTGGCTCATGGTCCATGGCCCAAACGTCCACCCTACTACATACAGCTCGTGGTCCCCAACCGTCCGGGGATCGTGGCTCATGGCCCATGGCCCAAACGTCCACCCTACTACATACAGCTCGTGGTCCCCAACCGTCCGGGGATCGCGGATCCATGGCCCAAACGCTACATACATGGTTCCATCCATGGCCCAAACGTCCACCCTACTACATACAGCTCGTGGTCCCCAACCGTCCGGGGATCGTGGCTCAGTCCATGGCCCAAACGTCCACCCCTACTACATACAGCTCGTGGTCCCCAACCGTCCGGGGATCGTGGCTCATGGTCCATGGCCCAAACGTCCACCCTACTACATACAGCTCGTGGTCCCCAACCGTCCGGGGATCGCGGCTCATGGTCCATGGCCCAAGCGTCCACCCTACTACATACAGCTCTGGTCCCCAATCCGGGGATCGTGGCTCATGGACCATGGCCCAAACGTCCACCCTACTACATACAGCTCGTGGTCCCCAACCGTCCGGGGATCTCGGCTCATGGTCCATGGCCCAAACGTCCACCCTACTACATACAGCGTGGTCCCCAACCGTCCGGGGATCGCGGCTCATGGTCCATGGCCCAAACGTCCACCCTACTACATACAGCTCGTGGTCCCCAACCGTCCGGGGATCGCGGCTCATGGTCCATGGCCCAAATGTCCGAATACCTCTTACAACTGGGCGATGACGCAGTTTACATTAAAAAAAATCAGTTCACCTGAAGATTGGCCCTCCCAGTTTATTTCACCTGAAGATTAATTACCCAATGCTACCTCGGTGAAATGAGCCGGGGAGCATAACTTTAGATGATCCGGAGTAGGAAGAGCAGTATTGAGAGAGAGAGAGAGAGAGAGAGAGAGAGAGAGAGAGAGAGAGAGAGAGAGAGAGAGAGAGACCTTTGCACCCACAGAGAGAGTTCAACACCTTTCACGGATACTTGGAATCTCTACATCACTTGAGGGTTCGATGCTCCAGAATGTGTTGAGGCGAGTGTGTGTGTTTATCAAGCACGATCAAGCACATGCTGAATTTTTTACTTTTTCGTCAAGCGTTGAGGAAGACTGGGCTTATCTTCCTCATCACTCGCTCACTACCTACCTACCTACCTTCCTACCTACCTGCCTGCCTGCCTGCCTGCCTGCCTGCCTGCCTGCCTGCCTGCCTGCCTGCCTGCCTGCCTTGCCTGGCTCACCTGGCTCAGTAATAAAGTGTCTGGTTTACCTGAAATTTCATCTCAATTTATTTCATGTGAAGTTTTAAGATTTTTCCGTTCATCCACAACTATTTCCCTTCCTTCATTTAAATTAGAAAACGTTTGAGAAGAATGATAATAAATTTGTCTTGAAACGAACACCCTTTAGTGGAGCTATGTTGAGTGAGGGTTATTAATCAACTTTTAGTCTTTGATGGTGATTCTGAATTGAATTTGTGGGGGGTATTGCTTTCAGTATATTTCCAACAGAGGCATGCTAAGATCTTTCCTGTACGTTCCTTTAGTAATTATTGTTTCATCGGGACCTGGCAACTTATTTGGTTTTAGATTATACATTAAGTTACTAGCATGACTATTAATCACTACTAATTTGGTTTTGGAATCATATTTAGATCTACCCAAGTGAAGATTAATAAAAAAAAAAGTTGTTTATCAAAATATTGGTCATTTCCCCCCACGTTATCAGCAAGCTGTCCTGAATCAAACTACTAAATTGGTGTGTTGACGGGGTTCATTTATCACCCACGACCATAAGATATACGCAGCACCAACGTCACAAACTCTCAGTACAGTAGTCAGAAGTCATAAACACGACCCTGGTGGTGGTGTTAGTAATCAGATATCGCTGAGGAGATAAGATTGCCCTCTGAGACGACCTAGCGGGTAGTAGATGACCGGCCCTCTGATCCCCCTGGTGACGATGTGGTAGTCGCCAGGTGGTTTGGGGACGAGTTGACCTCACCTCAGACAAGTCATTCGTGTCACCAAATTACGCATTTCAAGTCATATGTAGGTTAGGTTAGGTTAGGTTATGACGCTACGTTTATGGGTTCACCTGAAGATTAGCCTTCTATTTTATATCACCTCAATTTTAACTCCGCTTACGGTACCTACCTGTAGAGGGTTAGGTTAGGTTAGTGTTAGTCTTCCGTTGAAATAAGAGGGAGCGGGCATCAATTCTTCGGGTGATCGGTTTTATGATTATTGATATGAGAACACTTGTACTACCTAAACTTAATACCTAAATCTGTGCTTGTATTCCCCTATATACATTCTTATGACACACAGGTATATAAGTTTAATTACCAGAACACAGGTATATGAATTCAAGAAGTGATATTTTATTTTTTTTATTTTTAGGATCACATGCAGATTAGGCATCCTAGGTTTACTTCCCAGCGTTAGGTGGGTTGTGAGGGGAGTCGGGCTACACCGCACAATTTATTTTTTTCCCTTCCTCCCTCCTGCCATCACCAATGTCTTCCCTTCCCACTATCACTATTACCATCACCACTACCATCATCACTAACACCACCACCACTATCACCATCACCATTATCACCACCACCATCACCATTATCACCACCAACTATGTTCGTCAAATTTTAAAAGAGATTCCAAATATCTTAACTTTTAATGTAATTTTCTTTAGATTGTCGTCTTCCTGTGTCAACTTAGGCCACGACCAAGGAGCCGGCTCCGAACACCCAGGCAGCCGGCTTCAGTACCTAGACAGCCGGCTCCAAACACAGACAGCTGGCTTCAGCCACCCAGACACCCGGCACCAGACACCCAGACAGCCGGCTCCAGACACCCAGACAGCCGGCTCCAGACACCCAGACAGCCGGCTCCAAACACAGACAGCTGGCTTCAGCCACCCAGACACCCGGCACCAGACACCCAGACAGCCGGCTCCAGACACCCAGACAGCCTGCCCCAGACACCCAGACGGCGCTGGCTGGCGTCTTCGATCCCACGACTCACTCTCTGCAGGACACCGCGGGGCGTCGCCAGCAAACAGAGCGTCCCGAGCCTTGTGGGTCCTCCTGCTCTATCATAAGGGAGCCTTGTAGGACCATCACACTATCCCTTACACCATCCTACAAACATTCAAGGATCCCCAGTAATATCCTATGGTCCTCAAGATGATGTCTTACCAGAATCCAACTCACGGTCCACAGAGTCCAACTCACGGTCCACAGAGTCCAACCCACGGTCCTCAGAGTCCAACTTACGGTCCTCAGAGTCTAACTCATGGTCCTCAGAGTCCAACCCACGGTCCACAGAGTCCAACTCACGGTCCTCAGAGTCCAACTCACGGTCCTCAGAGTCCAACTTACGGTCCTCAGAGTCTAACTCATGGTCCTCAGAGTCGAACCCACGGTCCTCAGAGTCCAACCCACGGTCCTCAGAGTCCATCCTATAATCCTCAGAGTCCCCCCAACATGTTTGAGAGTCCATCCTACGATCCTCAGAGTCCACCCAACATGTCTGAGAGTCCATCACATAATCCGCAGAGTCCATTGCATAATCCCGAGTCCAATTTACAATCCTCAGAGTCCATCCAACAATCCTCGGAGTCCAATTTGCAATCCCCAGAGTCCATCCTACAATCCTGAGTATCATACAACCCTCAAAGTCCTTCCTATAATCCCCAGAGTCCACCCTACAATCCTAAGAGTCCATCCCATAATCCTCAGAGTCCACCCTACAATCCCCAGAGTCCATCCTATGATTCTCAGAGTCCAATTTACAATCCCCAGAGTCCACCCTACAATCCTCAGAGTCCATCCTATAATCCTCAGAGTCCACCCTACAATCCTCGGAGTCCACCCTACAATCCTCGAGTCCACCCTGCAATCCTCAGAGTCAATTTACAATCATCAGTCCACCCAACAATCCCCGAGTCCATCTACCACAATCCTCAGAGTCCACCTACAATCCTCAGAGTCCACCTCAATCCTCAAGTGCAATCCTCCGAGTCCACCCAACAATCATCAGAGTCAACCAACAATCCTCAAGTCAACCAACAGTCCTCAGAGTCACCACAACAATCCTCAGAGTCCAACCAAGCAATCCCAGAGTCCACCCAACAATCCTCAGAGTCCACCCAACAATCCTCAGAGTCCACCCAACAATCCACAGAGTCCACCCAACAATCCTCAGAGTCCATCCTACAAGCATGAGAGTCCATCCTATAATCATTAGAGTCCAATTTACAATCCTCAGAGTCCACACAACAATCCTCAGAGTCCACCCTACAATCCACCGAGTTCACCCTACAATCCTCAGAGTCCACCCAACAATCCCCAGAGTCCAACCAACAATCCTCAGAGTCCACCCTACAATCCTCAGAGTCCACCCTACAATCCTCAGAGTCCACCCTACAAGCCTCAGAGTCCACCCAACAATCCCCAGAGTCCAACCAACAATCCTCAGAGTCCACCTAACAATCCTCAGAGTCCATCTTGCAAATATGAGAGTCCACCCTATAATTCCCAGAATCCATCCAGTAATCCTCAGACTCCATCGTACAATCCTCAGAGTCCATCCTGTGATCCTCTGAGTCGAATTTACAATCCTCAGAGTCTATCCTATAATCCCCAGAGTCCAATTTACAATCCTCAGAGTCCACCTAACAATCCTCAAAATCCATCCTACAATCCTCAGAGTCCATCCTATAATCCCCAGAGTCCGCCCTATAATCCTCAGTGTCCATCCTATAATCATCAGAGTCCAATTTACAATCCTCAGAGTCCACCCAACAATCCTCAGAGTCCAGCCATCAATCCTCAGAGTCCAGCCAACAATCCTCAGAGTCCAGCCAACAATCCTCAGAGTTCACCCAACAATCCTCAGAGTCCACCCAACAATCCCCAGAGTCCAATCAACAATCCCCAGAGTCCACCCAAGAAACCTCAGAGTCCACCCAACAATCCTCAGAGTCCACCCAACAATCGTCAGAGTCCACCCAAAAATCGTCAGAGTCCACCCAACAATCGTCAGAGTCCAACCAACAATCCTCAGAGTCCACCTAACAATCCTCAGAGTCCATCTTGCAAATATGAGAGTCCACCCTATAATTCCCAGAATCCATCCACTAATCCTCAGACTCCATCGTACAATCCTCAGAGTCCACCCTACATTACCCAGAGTCCATCCTGTGATCCTCTGAGTCGAATTTACAATCCTCAGAGTCTATCCTATAATCCCCAGAGTCCAATTTACAATCCTCAGAGTCCACCTAACAATCCTCAAAATCCATCCTACAATCCTCAGAGTCCATCCTATAATCCCCAGAGTCCGCCCTATAATCCTCAGAGTCCATCCTATAATCATCAGAGTGCAATTTACAATCCTCAGAGTCCACCTAACAATCCTCAAAATCCACCCTACAATCCTCAGAGTCCAACCTATAATCCCCAGAGTCCGCCCTATAATCCCCAGAGTCCATCCTACAATCCTGAGTCTATCATACAATCCCCAGAGTCCATCCTATAATCCTGAGTCTATCATACAATCCCCAGAGTCCATCCTATAATTCCCAAAGTCCATCCTATAATCCCCAGAGTCCATCCTATAATCCCCAGAGTCCATCCTATAATCCCCAGAGTCTATCCTATAATCCCCAGAGTCCATCCTATAATCCCCAGAGTCTATCCTATAATTCCCAAAGTCTATCCTATAATCCCCAGAGTCCATCCTATAATCCCCAGAGTCCATCCTATAATCCACAGAGTCTATCCTATAATCCCCAGAATCCATCCTACGATCCCTATAGTCCATGCTATGAATCTGAGAGTATTCAACGGTCCTCAGAGTCCATTCTACAAGTCTGAGAGTCCTTCCTATGATTCAGAGTCCATCCCGTGGTCCTCAGTCCATCCTGCGGTCCTTAAAGTCCATCCTGCGGTCCTTAAAGTCCATCCTGCGGTCCTTAAAGTCCATCCTGCTGTCCTTAAAGTCCATCCTGCGGTCCTTAAAGTCCATCCTGCGGTCCTTAAAGTCCATCCTGTGGTCCTTAAAGTCCATCCTGCGGTCCTTAAAGTCCATCTTGTGATTTATTGAAAGGATGAAAAGATTACTGAGAGAGAGAGGTGGGAGGAGAGGGGGCATTACTGAGAGAGATGGAGAGGGGGCATTACTGAGAGAGATGGGAGGGGGCATTACTGAAGATGGGAGGAGAGGGGGCATTACTGAGAGAGAGATGGGAGGAGGGGGCATTACGAAGAGAGATGGGAGGAGAGGCATTACTGAGAGAGAGATGGGAGGAGGGGGCATTACTGAGGAGGGGGGGGGCATTACTGAGAGAGAGGGGGGAGGGGGCATTACTGAGAGGGGGCATTACTGAGAGAGAGGAGAGGGCATTACTGAGAGAGAGAGAGGGGAGAGGGGGCATTACTGAGAGAGGGGGCATTACTGAGAGAGAGAGGGGTGGCGTTACTGAGAGAGAGGGGTTTGAGAGGGTGGCATTACTGAGAGAGAGAGAAGTGGAGGAACAGGTGAAAGGAGAGTGAGAGACAATTGAGAAATAAGATGAGGTGAGTTATAGATGAGAAGCAGTACAGTACAGGTAGGTGTGAGTGAGGGAGGAAAGTGAGGGAGAATAGGAGGAAAGTGAGGGAGAATAGGAGGAAAGTGAGGGAGAATAGGCGATATGAACCGGAAGTGTGGTCTAACAACTTACCTGAACACCACAGTAAAACAAACAGCATTATCAAACACTTCAAAACTAAAACTTAAAATTATATAATACATAAAACTACAGCAGGAGAAGAGTGTGTGTGTGTGTGTGTGTGTGTGTGTGTGTGTGTGTGTGTGTGTGTGTGTGTGTGTGTGTGTGTGTGTTGTACTGAGCTGTGGTTGACCTCGTGTAAGACCAGCATCACTTGTATCCTGAAATAAACAGGTGATGGCTTATTTTGGCCTTGGTTGAATTGCATTGTTTACCATTGAATGTTTACCTGTATTGGTCTAGGTTTATTGGAAGTTGTATACCTGTAACTGCCTATGTATACCGTATACCTGTGTTGTCTATATACTGTACATTACGAACTGTATACCTGCACAGTGTATATATATAAATACTAAGCCAAATGTAATTTTATATGATGATTTTACTGAATAAATATTATTATTATTGTTATTATTATTATTTAATAGAGGTGGGGCAGTGTGGAGAGGGGAGGGGGGAGGAAGTGAAGGAACAGGGAGGGGGAGGGAGTGAAGGGAACAGGAGGAGATAGCCAGCCGTCGTGTGGGGTGAGATAAGACGACACTATCACACTCCTTATCTCCTGCCACCTCTGGGGGCTGCCCTCCACTCCTTTTAACCTCCATTCCACCTTCCTCCTACTTGTTCACATCTTTCCACCTATACGTCAAGTCCAAATTCTTCCCCTCACCCTCCCCCTCCCCTACTGAGCACCAACTGTAATGTTAAGTGATCCTCAAGCCCCTCCCCCAACAGGTATGTCCTCCCCCACCAGGTATGTCCTCCCCCACCAACAGTTATGTCCTCCCCACCAACAGGTATGTCCCTCCTCCACCACCAGGAAAGTCCAGATAATCACCATCTTCGTCAACAAAATCCCCCCCTCTCCCAGTGCTCTTTACCCTTCCTCCTACACCCCAACAAAACAGGACCCTCCCTCCCTCCTCCTAACTCGACGCACTGCAGTACCACAGAACTCCCTACTCCGCCTCCCCGTTCTCCCACCCACGTCCAGAAATACTCCCGTCGTCCAACCCTCCCTCACCTCTTGCCTTCCCTCTCTCCCTCCATCTTCCCCCCTCCTTTCCTCTTTCCTCCTCCTCCCTCCCTCCTCCCTCCCTCCCTCCCTCCCTCCCCCCGAACCTAGGCACATCTAGACAAGCTCCTCTGCTCACCAAACTAAGTCAGCTCGACGCAGTGCAGTAGAGGCGCGGGTCAGATACTTCTTCCACTACCACGATGTGAAAGAAATGTAATAAGGAGCTTTGGGGCGGCTGTCTGACGGTGATGTGAGAGAGAGAGAGAGAGAGAGAGAGAGAGAGAGATAACAGCTATCAGCCAGATAGGGTGGACTTGGACCAACTGGGTATGAAAAAGATAAAACTAATAATATTTCTGATATATAGACGGAACGGCTAGAAGGACGGAAGAGACGGAAGGAGGAGACGACTAACGGAAAAGTAGGGAGAAGAAGAAGAAGAAGAAAAGTAGATACACGGAAGGAAGAGAAATAAAGGGTTTGAAGGATAGGAGGAAGTACAGGGTGTGGATATAAAGAGGGGGAAGAAGAGGTTGTGGCGCAAGGAAAGAGGATGGAAGAGGAAGATAAAAAATGATGAAGTGATAAAGAAGAGAGAGATCGGATAGGATACAGAGAAAAAGAGAATAAAGTATAAGGATGACCACCACAAGAGAAAGGAGAAGAGGATAGAAAAGAGGGGAGAGGAGAGTAAGAAGAGGGGTGGTGAATGCTGAGGTGTTTTTATCCTAAGTCTATTGGTGTAATCCTGTTAAAGAGGTTCCCTTTACACAAGCACCTGCGGACAACAATATACCTTTATTCTTTACCTGTATTGATTAGTTCACCTGTCTGCGTGTCTCTTCATTAATGTACAGTACATAACAAGCCCTCACCTTGTTACCCCCTGTATGTCCTTCCTACCACACCCACACCACACTAACACCTGCCTCACACACCACACCAACACCTGCCTCCCCACCACACCACACCATACCTAACACACACCTGTCTCTCTACCACATCACACAAACACCTCTCTACCATATCACACTAACACCTGTCTCTCTACCACATCACACTAACACCTGTCTCTCTACCACACCACACTAACACCTGTCTCTCTCTACCACACCACACTAACACCTGTCTCTCTACCACACCATACCACACTAACACCTGTCTCTCTACCACACCCACACCACACCAACACCTGCCTCCCTACCACACCATATTAACACCTGTCTCTCTACCATACCACACCAAACCTGTCTCTACCACACAACACCACACCTGTCTCTACCACACCACAGTAATACCTGCCTCCCTACCACACCGACACCTGCCACAGTTCCCGCACGTAAGGAGCTTGGCCCCTCCATCCGTATTGAAGATTCTAAGAGGATTTTGGCAGTGTTTGAGGCCGGACCAGCCCAGCCCGGCCACCTGGCAGCCTCGTCACACAAAGAGGCAACAGGGAGGGCCGCGGACCAGGTTGTACAAAATATTTTACAATAAACCTCTTCATGGGTAACGGGGTTGTGGGGTGTATGTGAAGTGTATATGATAGTGTGGGTGTTTATTACTGTTGTTCAAGACTTAGACTGTGGTAGTTAGGGCCAGGTTTACGTCGGTTCAGATTCCTTCAGATGATTTAATAGCCGGAACACGTCATTGTTGTCCCAGTTGTGGTTCAGTTTGTATTTATATAATCTATAATGTGAACTCTCTATAACTGTGACTGTGGCGATGAAAGGTATCCAGGAAGTGCATTACTCGGCAGGTAGGGGTCGGGCTGAGTGAGCTTGGAGGGGAGACTTCTCCGTCAGGAATGTGTCGGTGAGGTGATGAGCCAGCTGGTGTATGTAGGTCAAGGAGAACCTCACCCCCCCCTTCCCCCCTCCCCCCACCACCACCTTCTCATCCCAGCCAGTGGTGTTTGATCGTCTGTCCTTCTCAGGTTAAGTCACTAGATCCTGCGAGTAACTTAATCCATATTGTGATGTTTCTTGGTTTGATTATGTGTAGATGATGTAGTGAGGATGTTCCAGCATGTGGGTGACGTGCTGGTGCAGGATGTGTGGCTACAGCAGCGTACGTGTAGCTGTAGAAGGTGATGTTTACTCCCTACTACAGTTCCATCACGTGCTGTTGTCTCACCACCATCACATAAATCATCACGTGAACATTAACCCCCGAGATTATTTTACCTTAAGATTAACCACCACTTGAGAGAGAAATTTTGAGGATTATAACACACATCTCTTGGGCCGCCGTTTTGTCGTTCGTGTAGTTCTCACTTGAAGGGCCTCACCTGTTACCTTACCTGGAGGGTTTCTATGGATGTAACTCAATTATGATAACAAAGTGACACACACACACAGCACCTGTGCACCACCTTCAACAGACACACTGACCAATCCTTTACATGTGGACGGTGTGCTGAACCATCCACACGTATTCTGTTTATTGACATGGAAATAAAACTGTGATCACGCCAACGATGACTTATGTAAATGAGTCACCTGAGTCATTTAGTTACCGTTTATCTCTCGTTAGTCACCTGAGTCATGTAGTTACCGTTTATCTCTCGCTAGTCACCTGAGTCATTTAGTTACCGTTTAACTCTCGTTAGTCACCTGAGTCATTTAGTTATCGTTTATCTCTCGTTAGTCACCTGAGTCATGTAGTTACCGTTTATCTCTCGTTAGTCACCTGAGTCATTTAGTTACCGTTTATCTCTCGTTAGTCACCTGAGTCATGTAGTTA